AATCTGAAGCAGGCTCCAGGCTCTGAGCTAGCTGTCAGCACAGAGCCCGATGCGGGGCTCAAACCCACGAACCTTAGGATCATGACCTGAGCCAAAGTCGGATGCTCAACCAACTGAGCCACCCAAGGCACCCCTAAAAATATGGTTTTTAAGGATTACGTAACTGAATTAGAGTGGCTTGATTGTAAAATAATGAAGAATCTACAGGATTGGATTATGAAGTACTGACTCATTAACATTTGAATGCTTGTTCACCATGTAGAGACCACAGATTCTGCAATGAACAAGACAAACAAATCTGCTGGAACTTAAATTTTAGAGGACATGGGAGACAATAAATAAACCTGTAATAAGTGTTATACAGGGAAGTGAAGTAGGGATGGAGAGAGACTGCATGACTATTTAAATTGGGCAGCTAGAGGGGCGCCTGGGTGGCTTAGTCGGTTAAGCATCTGACTTTCGCTTGGGTCATGATCTCGCGGTTCGTGGATTCGAGCCCCGCGTCGGGGTCTGTGCTGACTGCCAGCTCGGAGCCTGGAGCCTGTTTCAGTCTGTGACTCCCTCTCTCTCTGACCCTCCCCTGCTCGTGCTGTCTCTCTCTCTCTCTCTCCTAGAAATAAAACATTAAAAAAAATAATAAAATGAAATAAATTGGGCAGCTAGAAAAGCCTCATTGTTAAGGTGATGGTTCTTCAACTGTGAGCACGAGGAGCCAGTCAGGCTGTGGGAACAGCTAGTAGTGTTTGAGTGAAAACAAGCTTGTGAACTTGGGGGTGTTAAAAAAAAAAAAAGTGAGACCAAAAAAGCTTAAATTATAAAAAAATAAATTAAAAAAACACGTGGCTCTAGCTGACCAGGAAAGGAATACATCAAAATTTGGGGGGCTGGAGAACGAACAAGTCCTCTAACGCTTTGAAAGCCTCAAGATAAGGTTTTGAAACTGATTCTGGTTTAATGAATTGGAAATTTGGCTTGTTTTTTAAGCCTAGTAATCTTTTCTGGTTTTTTTGATGGCTTTATTGAGATGAGACATAATTCGTGTACCATGTAATTTACCCATTTAAAGTGTACAATTAGTTTTTTAGTGTATTTACAATGTATATATTCATCATCGTCATAATTTTAGAACATGTTTATATTCCCAAAAAGAAACTACATATTCTTTGTCAGCCACTCCCCATCCTGCCCAAACCCCCTTAGTCAGGGCAACCACGAATATACTGTCTCTGTGATTTTCCTGTTCTGAACATTTCCTATAAATGGAATCATACACTGTCTGGTCTTTTGTTTCTGATTTCTTTCACTTAACCTAATGTTATCAGTTATCAAGTTTCATCCATGTTGTAGCAGATATCAGTACTTTATTCCATTTTATGGCTGAATAATATTCCATTCTATGACTTTATCACGTTTTATTTATCCAAGTCAATTGATGGACATTGAGGGTGTTTCTGGTTTTTGGCTATTAAGAATAATGTTATGAACATTCATGTATGAGTTTTTGTGTGGGGATATGTTTTCATTTCTCTTGGGTGTATACCAAGAAGTAGAATTGGAGGATCACATGGTAGCTGTATATTTCACATTTTGAGGAACTGCCAGACTATTTTCCACAGTGGCAGCATCAGTTTAAAGATCACTACTATGTAAAGAATATCAGCCCCTATATCTCTGAATGTTAGGATGCCAGCAAAAGATACTAAGAATGAGCAGCCAGTGCCATCGAAATATGTGGTGTCAGAAAAGTCATGAGAATAGAATGTTTCAAGACAAGGAGGTGGTCAATTTTATGGCATCCTTATGAATGATTGAAATATACAAAAAGGAACTAAATCCTGGATTTAGCTATTAGTGGATTTTGGAGACATTTTGAAGAAAAGCAGAAGTTTGATGGGGAAAATTTTTTTTTTTAATCCAGACAAGCTGGTTTTAAACTTTATGAAAAGTCTGGAATAGCTAACACAACTCTGACAGCAAAATAAGTGGGAGCAATCTATCTGGTGTGAAGACTTTTTAGCTACAGTAATCAAGACCATATGGTATTGGGGGAGGCATAGACACATAGGTCATTGGAACAAAAGAAAAGCCCAGAAACAGACTGGATCATGGCCTACTGATTTTTGTCAAAGGTGCAAAAGCAATTCAATAAAGAAAGGTTATTTCCTCAACATTTTCAACAAATAGTGCCAGAGTAGTTGGACATCCATAAGCAAAAACATGAAACTTTACGTAAAATTAATGCCTTGTGCCAAAATTAACTCAAAGTATATCATCAATTTAAATATAAAATGTAAATCATAGACTTCTAGAAGAAAACAGAAAATTTTTGTGACCTAAGACAAGTTCTTAGATACAACACTAAAACCATGATCCATAAAAGATTTTTAAAAATCAAAAAGTTGGAATTCATAGTTTAATTTTTTAATGTTTGTTTATTTTTGAGAGAGTTTCAGAGTGGGAACAGGTGAGGGGGACGGGGGTAGGGGGGGCAGAGAGAAGGGAGACACAGAATCCAAAGAAGGCTCTAGGCTCTGAGCTGTCAGCACAGTTACAGGGCTCCAACTCGTGGGCTGTGAGATCATGACCTGAGCTGAAGTCGGCTGCTCAATCGACTGAGCCACCCAGGCGTCCCGGGTTTCAAAATTTAAAACTTCTGCTCTACAAAATATCCTGTCAAGAGAATAAAAAAACTAGATGCAGAACCCTAAACATGGAACAGTTAAAAAAGAAAACAAAAGAACAAGCAATCCAATTAGAAAATGGACAGAAAACAAGAACAGCCATTTCAGCAGCCATTTCACCATGGATGGCAAATAATTACATGAAAAAATGTTCACCATCTTTAGCCATGGAGAAGTACAAATTAAAATGATAATGAGGTATCACTCGTGACCTATTTATTAAATTAAAAAATAGTGACAGCACCAAATGCTGATGGAGGCAGAGAAACTGGATCGGAATGTAAAGTGGGACAGCCACTCTAGAAAAGTTCAGCAGTTTCTTATAAAATTAAACATATACTTTATCATACTATTCAGCAGTCGCATTCCTGGGTATTCATCCCAAAGAAATCAAAACTTATTTTCACACAAAAACTTAATACATAAGTATCCATAGCAACTTTATTTCTAATGGCCAAAAACTGGAAGCAACCCAAATGTCCTTCCACAGGTGAGTGATTAAACATATTGTGATATGTCCGTACCATGGAACACTATTCAGCAATAGCACAGATTAGTATTACATGCAACAATGTGGGTGGGTCTCAAAGAGATTTACGGTTACAAAAAGTGAAAAACGACCATTTCAAAAAGTTTGTATACGGCATGATTCCATTTATCCATTATTCCATTTGGAAATGACAAAATTGTAGATATGGAAAACAGATTATTGGCCAGGGTGTAGGGACTATAGGAGATGCAAGTGTTCTCTCTTGTTTCTGGTGGTGGTTACACATATCTATACATGTGATAGAATTGCAGAGAGCTACATACATGCATGTGTGCATGTATGTTAAAAAAGTGAACTCTAAATAAGGTCTTTTGATTGTACCAATGTAAATTTCCTGGTTTTGCTTTTGTGAGATGGTGTATGATGTTATCATTGGGGAGAACTGGGTGAAGGATACATGAGGATACATTTTTATAACTTCCAGTGAGGCTATAATTACCTAAGAAAGAAAGTTTGCTTGGGGAGGGGAACAGAGAAATGTGATGTCAATTGAAGGGATGTAGGATTGAGAGTAGGTATTTTGGTTTTAATTTTACTTTTTTACAAAAGATAAGGGGGCCACCTGGTGGCTCAGTTGGTTGAGCGTCTGACTCAATTTCAGCTCAGGTCATGATCTCATGGTTCGTGGGTTTGACCCTTGTGTGAGGCTCTGTACTGGTAGGATTCCCTCTCTCTCTGCCCTCCGCTGCCCTTGCTTTCTCTCAAAATAAATAAATTAACTTTACAAAAAAAAAAAGAGGGGCACCTGGGGTAGCTCAGTTAGTTGTGTCTGAATCTTGATTGTGGCTCAGGTCATGATCTCACAGTTCATGAGTTCAAGCCCCACATTGGGCTCTGCACTGACAGCATTGAGCCTGCTTGGGATTCTCTCATTCTATCTCATTCATTCATTCTCTCTCTCTCTCTCTCTTTCTCTCTCTCTCTCTCTCTCTCTCTCTCTCTCTCTCTCTCTCCCCTCCCTCCCTCTCCCTCTCTCCCCTCCCTCCCTCTCCCTCTCCCCCCTCCCTCCCTCTCCCTCCACCCTCTCCTCTCTCTCCCCCCTCCCCTTCCCCTGCTCAGCCTCTGCCTGCCTCCCTCCCTCTCTTAAATATTTTTAACATAAAAAAAAAGATAGGAGATACTAAAACATATACGTAAGCTGATGAGAATGATCTGTAAAAGGAAGAAATAGGTGATGCAAATAGGGGGAAATTACAGGAGCAAAATGCAGATCTTAGATCTTTGGCATGAAGGAATTGAAAAATACTATTTATGTATTTCTATCTTGTTACTTAAAAATGAAGTTATCTATACAGCATTTTGTAGATGATTCTAAGTGGGTAAATGTGGCTGTACTACGGTGTAGGCTGTTAATGTTTTAAACATCCCACATGCTTTTTGTATTACATACGGAACTGGATCACTGAATAAAACAGAATATTAAGTTTTTATTACTCTTGCTGGTGTTCATTTTAAAATAACGTCTCAAGAGTTTTACATGTCATTCTTCTACTGTTTTTCCCTTTCAAATTTTCCTCCAGTATAGGTAGCTCATTATATTCTTTGACTAAAAAAGTTATACATATACATATATATGTGTATATATATATATACTTATGAATAAATCAGAATTATTTACCATTTAAGAATTAAATGAGTGGTTCAGTTTTGCTTTATCGCATATAGTGGATTTTCATGTTTCTCTTACCAAACCATTTTACTGTTTTGCCCTTTTTCTAGAATGTAGTAATATCAACATGTTCAATACAAATTATTGCTGTTTATTTCAGGGATACAGCAGGCCAGGAACGATTTCACACCATCACAACCTCCTACTACAGAGGAGCGATGGGTATCATGCTAGTATATGACATCACCAATGGTAAAAGTTTTGAAAACATCAGCAAATGGCTTAGAAACATAGATGAGGTAAGACCTAGAAATTGTATAACCCTTTATAAAGACACATTTTTGTGTTAAGAATAAATATTCTAATTGATGTTTAGTATATACTGTACTATCATTATTATTGAGTCATTTCTCCTTTTTAAAAGCTAATGTTATATTTTGCCTAGGTTTTTCTTAAAGTTTTGGGTCTGTCTAGAACCCTATCCAAGGTAATTACTAACTTACCCAAAACCTCTATACAGCCATCTTCTAAGATGGTCCCACATAGAAGCTACCAGTGGTTTTACACACCTCTCTTTAAATGAATTCTTTCTTAGTGAATTTTTATTGAATAAATGAATGAATTACTACCTTTTCCAGTAATAATTTTAAAACAACAGAAATGTCATATCACTTCTAGACATTTTGAGAGAAACAGAGTAGTAATGTGTTAAACACCTAACCAAGAAAAGAGTGCCGTATCATTGCATGTGATGGTGTCAGTTTTTATAAGGTAAAATATGTGTCAAAGCCTGTCTACTGCCGTGATGCAACATAAGTAGCTACTTGTTGAAATTATTTTTCATGTCTTACTGCTGCCGTCTAGACTTTCGAGTTTCATTAAGACTGATAAGTCTTTAAAACATTTTTGGCTAGATACATGAAGATCAAGGCCCAAGCCAATATTAGACAGAAGATCACGATTTCTTCAATGGTAGCAGTACTAACAGCTCATTACTAACTTTTCCATTGCTACAATAAATCTTCAAAGAGAAGCCTGTTAGTATTTAATAATCAGTTAACAGTTCACTAATTTTTGAAACAAAAAGGCTCCATTTTAAATTTTCTTTAGCCTTTATTTTATGATTCAGCCAAGTAGCATGTGTAGTAGGAGCAATTTATAAAGAGACTGTGTTGTTCTAAAAACCACCAGTTTTCTGAATTCTGTGACATGAACTGGATATCCTACAGTTCAGTGCCATTCTGACTCCACTAGTTTAAGGACTCAGTCCCACAAGACTGCCCTTCCTTCAAATGTTAAGTCCTGGGTCCCCTAGGCAAGCCTCACTTCTCTCTGACTTGGCTACAAATTTGAGGGCTCCCAGGCCCCACTTTTGGTTCAGTAGTTGGCTAGAGTAACTTATAAAACTCAGGAAAGTGCTGTATTTACATTTAATATTTTATTGTAAAGAATACAGTACAGGAACAGCTAAATGGAAGTGATGCATAGGCAAGGCAATGAGGGTGGGGAACACCGCTTCCAGGCTATCTCTGGACAGTTACCCTCTGGGCATTTTGATCTGTTCTACCTGGAAGGTCCCCTGACTTCATTGTTTCAGAGTTCAATCCAGGTTTTACTGCTTAGGCAGGGTTGCTTAAATCATTGACCTCTGGTGATTGAACTTAATCTCCAGCCCCTTCACCTCATGGGAGGTAAGGGAGTGGCTGAAAGTTCCAATTCTTTAATCACATGTTTGGTTCCTCTGCTGATCAGCTCCCATTGTGAAACTCTCTAGGCCACCCTCTACCCTAGTCCTTCATTAGCATAAACTTAGATAAGCAGAAAGGGCTCTGTTATGAACAACAAAAGACAATCTGTCACTCAGGAAATGAGGAATAAACAGGGAAGAAAGACCAAATATGTTTTTTATTATATGACATATAAGACATTAGATACTGGTGGGAGCGCCTGGATGGCTCAGTCTGTTAAGCATCCGACTCTTGAGGCTTTTGATTTCAGCTCAGGTCATGGTCTCTCAGTTCTTGAGATTGAACCCTGTGATTGGTGCTGCCTAATATTCACTTTGTTATAGAAATTAAAGCTTTACCTAAATGAAAAGAAGCTGAACTGATCAAACATTTTTATTTATTTATTATTTATTTTAAAGAAACTAGCTTGGGTTTTCTTTTTATGTTTATTTTTGTGTGAGATAGAGATATAGAGCATGAGCAGGGGAGGGGCGGAGAGAGAGAGAGTTAAACACAGAATCTGAAGTAGGTTCCAGGCTCTGAGCTGTCAGCACAGAGCCCGACGTGGGGCTCGAACCCACCAACCATGAGATCATGACCTGAGCCGAAGTCATGCTCAACCAACTGAGCCACACAGGCACCCAAATCCAACATTTTTTAAAGGATTATATATCATGATCAAGAGGAACTTAACCTAGGAATGCAAGAATGGTTTAATTTAAGAAATCAATCAGTATAGGGGCATCTGGGTGGCTCAGTTGGTTTAAGCATCTGACTTTGGCTCAGGTCATGATCTCATGGTTTAGTTTGTGAATTCAAGCCTCTTGTCGATGTCTGTGCTGACAGTGAGGAGCCTGCTTGGGATTTTCTTTCTCTCCCACCCCCCCACTCTCTTTCTCAAAATAAAATAAAATTAAAAAAGAAATCAATTTAATATACTGTATTGATTATAGGCAAAAGCCATATTATCATGCCAACAGACACAGAAAAAAAAATTGACAAAATCTACACCCTTACGTGATAAAAGCACTTCATAAACTAGACATAGAAGAGAAAATCCTTAGCTTAATAAAAGGCATTTGTGAAAATCCCACAGCCAACATCATCCCTGCCCCTTACAGTCAAGAATGAGAAGTATGCCACCTATGTTCTTGATTGTAGTGGGCATTCTAGCCAGGGCAATTAGGCAGAGAAAAAAAGGGGGGCACCCAGATTGTGAAGTAAAATCATTTGTAAATAATGAGATTTTGTATATAGAAAATCCTAAGGAATCCACACATGTACACCAAAAAACTAAACTGTTAGAACTGATAAGTTCAGTAAGCGTGGCAGAAATAAGATGAGTATACAGAAATCCATTAGCAGTGAATAATCCAAAAATGAAGTTAAGGGGGCGCCTGGGTGGCTTAGTCGGTTAAGCGTCCGACTTTCCGACTTTCGCTTAGGTCATGATCTTGCGGTTTGTGGGTTCGAGCCCCGCGTCGGGCTCTGTGCTGACTGCCAGCTCGGAGCCTGGAGCCTGTTTCAGTCTGTGACTCCATCTCTCTCTGACCCTCCCCTGCTCACGCTGTCTCTCTCTCCTAGAAATAAATTTAAAAAAAAAAAAAAAAAAAAATGAAGTTAAGGATATAATTCCATTTACAGTAGCATCAAAAGAAGAAAAACAATTAATTTAGAAAATAAAGAGGCAATTAATTTAAAAAATAAAGAGGAAAAACTAGTTATGAAAAATTTAACCAAAGGCCTACTGAAAAAATGTTAAAAGAAATTAAAGAAGATCTAAGTAATTGGAAAGATACCTCGTGTTTACGAATTGGAAGACGTCATACTGTTAAGATAGCACTGGACAAAGTGATCTGCAGCTCCAGTGCAATTCCTGTAGAAACCTTAGCTACTTTCTTGGGGGTAAGGGGACTGGCAGAAATTGACAGGCTGATCTTAGAATTCATAAGGACATGCAAGGGACCCAGAAGAGCCAGACTCTCTTGATATGAGGAATGACATTTTAAGCTAAGACCTGAAGAAAGGAGTAAAAGTTATCCAGAAAAGAATGGGGCTAGTTCAAAGAATGTTATGTATTTAAATTTAAGACAAATCTCAAATTACTTTTGTTATCTAGAGAACCTATACCTTGGCTGCAGAGACATTCAGGGAAAGGTGTGTTGTGCCAAAGATAGACAATTTGCAAATGTTTTTTTGTATTCCAGGGGTTGGTTGCCTTTTCAGTCTGGTAGTGACCTTTGACACACAAAAGTTTTTAATTTTGATGAAATATGATTTTCCTATTTTTTCTTTTGTTATCTGTACTTTTGGTGTCATATCCAAGAAACCATTAACAAATCCAATGCCATAAAACTTTCCCCCTATGTTTTATGAGTTTTATAGTTTTTGGTCTTATCCACTTTGAATTTAGTTTTGTATATAGTATAATTTGGGGTCCAACTTCATCCTTTTGCTTATTGATATTTGGTGTGCCCAGCGCTATTTGTTGAAAAGACTCTTCTTCCCCCCATTGAATGGGCTTGGGACTCTTGTCAAATCATTTGGTCATGCATGTAAGGGATTATTTCTTGGCTCTGTATTCTGTTTTATTTGTGTATATTTTTTATGCCAGTAGCACGCTATTTTGATTATTGTAGCTTTGTAGTTAGTTTTGAAATCAGGGAGTAAGTATGAATCTTCCAACTTGGTACTTCTTTTTCAAGATCATTTTTGGCTGTTTAGTGTCCCTCGAGATTACATATGATTTTAGGGATGAGTTTTTCTGTTTGTGCAAAAGATGTTATTAGGATTTCGGTGGAGCAAACATTTGTTTTTAACTGATTTTTCTGCATGGGATCCTCTTGTGTTCTAGCAGCATAACTTTTTTGTTGTTTATTTTGCGAGAGAGAGAATGCGAGAGCACGCACCCGTGAGTAAGCACTTGCACAAGTAGGGGAGGGGCAAGGAGGGAGAGAGAGAATATCCCAAGCAGTCTCTGTGCTGTCAGCACAGAGCCCAGAGTGGGGCTCAATCTCCCAAATCGTGAGATCATGACCTGAGCTGAAATCAAGAGTGACTGAGCCACACAGGCGCCCTGGCAGTATAGCTTTTTGAGATTTTAAGGGCTCTGTAGAATTTTTAATTAAGGCTTCTACAGGGTAATACATATTCTCCAAAACCATCATCCAGCTTGGATTTAGATTATGCATATGAGATTCCAGGTTCAGATCTTTTGCCTATGTCTTCCCTTTTGGTGAGAATATATTAGAAACTACACAGCCTCCTATTGGGGGAAAATAATATCTGACGGTGATGTTAGGGATTGTATTTCCTTTTCTAAGTAATTTATGAATATTTGTAGGCTTTTAGTATGGGATTGATTTCAGGGTGATTGCTTTAAAACTTTCAGATTATAAAAATGACACTGAAGATTGAGAAAAATAAAGTCATTTTTAGAAAATACTAAGCTATAATTCATGGTAGTGTGTAAATTAATTTTTTTCCATTGTAGCATGCCAATGAAGATGTGGAAAGAATGTTACTAGGAAACAAATGTGATATGGATGATAAAAGAGTTGTACCTAAAGGAAAAGGAGAACAGGTAAAAAGCTCTGAATGAAACTAATACGCTTTCTTTGTGAAGATGGATTGCATTACATTGGTTTGTACTGGTAATGGAGGCTGCTGAGCTATTTACAGTGTTTTATAGTTGCCGTGGGAAACAGTAGTTTAGAATTTTTTCAGTGCCTGTCTAACAAGTATGGGATAATCAAACCTGTGATGGTAGTAGTATTGTTAACCTTATTTAAACTAAGACTTTAAGCACCTCACTTAGACTATATGAAGTAAGCTCTTAAAGTGAGAAGAGGATTCTTTTATTATTTTTGTTTACTCATTTATTTTTGAAAGAACGTGACCATTTGAATCTTGACCCATTGAAATACTTTGTTTTATATGACCTAGTAGAGACTGCTGCCTTTAGAATAATATATTTTTCTTCCAGGATACTAACGTCAGCAACCTATGCTTGATAATTTTATGATGACGTTTTGCTTCTGTTTTAGATTGCAAGGGAGCATGGTATTAGATTTTTTGAGACTAGTGCAAAAGCAAATATAAACATCGAAAAGGCTTTTCTCACATTAGCTGAAGATATCCTTCGAAAGGTAAGATCGTATTTTTACTTCTAATGTGCCAGTGTCACAAATGAACATTTAGTCTTTTTTGAAGTACTAGATTAACATGCAGAAATTAGATTTGGGTGGTATTGTTCCTAAATGCTTACCTATCACCAACATCTAACCCTCCAAAGTGAAGTAGGACCTGGGGAGAATGGAGAGCCACTAGAAATCTGTAGCATGTGGTCGGCGGTGACAGTGTGCTGAGCCCCCACACTGACTCTCCAGTCCCTAATTTTACGCTCCTTTTTTCAACTTTTTGTCTAGTCTGTGGTGCTGTGGCTCTTTTGTTTACTTTTGGACTCCTTTCTCTTACACATTTTTTGCATTTCCATAGGTAATTTCTTAAAATTTAAGATAATAGTGATTTCTACAGAATCACTTTCTTCTATATAGTCATTTCTCAGATGTGCCCATAAAGGGCATGTATCTGTTATGTACTGAATAAATATAGTAAATCCATCTCTATATTTCTTTTAGCCAATCATTTCAATCTGTGATGTTTTAAAAATTGATAAAATGTAATCTCAGGGATTTCATTTTATCTCAGGTTTAGTTTCTAGGTTTAATTTGTGAAACTTACCACTATAAGTAACTTGTAGCAAAATTGGGAAATCTGATTTTCATATTTTTCCTCAGATGGCAAGATGCAGTACACAGATTTGGTTATGAATCCTGAGTTCTCTATTCAATCTATAGTACATTTAAATGCACATAAAAACAGAACAAATCTGACACAAATCCTATTGAAGAAGTAGGCATTGTATAGGAGAACATTTAATTACTTTTGGTAACCTTTCTATTTTTATAATTGAAATAACAGTATTTTTTTCAAAAAACCAACCCTGAAATTTATGTATAACATAAATGTATGTATAACATAAGCTGTAATAGAAATGGTATCTCAAATACAAATCTAGTGAAATTTCAGAGAAATCAAACAACTTAATTTGAATATAGTGAAATGTAGTTATCTGTTAACTATAATTGTGTGCTCAAACTGGAAAAAAGTCATCAGTTATTGCTATTCAGTGACTGTAAAACAAACTAACAAAAATGAAGTTAAAGCTATAATTCCATTTATAGTAGCATCAAAAAGAAAAAATAAAAAATAAGAAAAACTAGTTATGAAAGTAAAGGACTAGGTAGACAAGGAAAAATGTTTTTACTTTTTTTTTTTTTTTTTTTTTTTAAGTTTATTTGGAGAAAGAGAAAGCACAAGTGCTGAAGGGGCAGAGAGGGTGGGGGAAGAGAGAATCCCAAGGAGGCTCCGCAGTGTCAGCACAGAGCCCGGTGCAGGGCTCAAGCTCACAAACCGGGAGATCCTTATCTGAGTGGAGATCCTTACCTGAGCCGAAATCCGGAGTCAGACACTTAACCGACTGAGCCACCCAGGGGCTCCAGAATGTTTGCATTTGTAGTTAAATGAAGGGAATAACAGGAATAGAAAAATACGTAAACAGAAATTTTTTTAATGTTTATTTTTGAGAGAAAGAAACAGAGTGTGAGTGGGGGAGGGGCAGAGAGCAAGGGAGACACAAAATCCAAAGCAGGTTCCAGGCTCTGAGCTGTCAGCACAGAGCCTGTCGTGGGGCTCAAACTCATCAACTCGGAGATCATGATTTGAGCTGAAAACAGATACTAAACTGACTGAGCCACCCAGGCACCCCAAAAAATGCTTTTTAAATTAGTGATATACTTGTATTTCAGAGTTTGGTGATCACAGTGAAAAATTATTCCAGTACCCATAAGATTTACCATAACACTTGTTGAAATAATTCTTATCTTTTGTGTTCTTTCTCTTTCTGGATTTTTTTGTTTTCTCCATTATTTCTGATTCCTTTCTGTCCATACTGTAGCCTTCAACTTCTCACTAATCTTGGCATTCAAAAGTAGTAATAATAATGCCTATATAATCTTATAATCTGTTTCCCCATGAGATAGATCTTCCTTGTTCTCATATTAATGGTTCAAACGCATGGATACACCAAAAAGAAGATCTCCGCCTGGAGTCTTTCCAATGTAGGCAGGCCCAGATGTGAGGTTGCATTTTTTTCCTATGCACATACATAATGCTTTTCGTTGTGGTCAGGGTATGAGTTAAAACATCAAACATAAACTTGTTTTACATTGGAATATGGCAAATACAGGAGCAATGCCTGACTAGCAACTTTCTGTGCCATGATTTCTCTACTGAGGTGGTAAAAGAGAAGTTAACTTTATTTTATTTTATTTTATTTTTTATGTTTTATTTATTTTTGAGAGAAAGAGACAGCATGAGCAGGGGAGGGTCAGAGAGAGAGAAGGAGACACAGAATCTGAAGACAGGCTCCAGGCTCTGAGCTAGCTGTCAGCACAGAGCCCGACGCGGGGCTCGAACCCACCAACCATGAGATCATGAACTGAGCCGAAGTTGGATGCTTAACCAACTGAGCCACCCAGGCATCCCGAGAAGTTAACTTTAGAATGAAGCAATTTAAACCATTTTTTAACTTAATTATTTGAATAGGTAATTCATTCGCATGGTTCAAACATTTAAAGAGTAAATGTGCAGAGAAGTTTCCCACTACGTTCCCTCAACTCCTCATTTCTCTCCTATAGGTAACCAGTTTCACTTATTAATATAGGAGTTAATATGAATATATTTTTATTCACTCTCTCTTTTTTAAACAAGTAAGGCAACATACACTGGCACTTTAAATATATACATAAAAGCCACTTTTTAAATAATTGCTACTCCCTTGAGTTGATAGGTCATAATTAAACAGGTTTTCTCAGGGACATTCAGGTGATTTTCAACCTTATGATCTCATAAATTGTATTGCAGTGAATAATGCTGTATTTAAATCATTTTGCAAGTATGTGATTATGTGCAAAATACAAAGGACAGATTCCTATAAGTGGCCAAAGAGAAAAAATACATATGTGTTTAGAATTCTGATACATGTTGCCCTGCACTGTCCCGAGGGTCACACCCACTTACACCCCTGCTAGCACTGCGTGAGGAAGTCTGTTTACTCACACTGTGACTACATTGTGGACTGTGAGACTTGTAGGTCTTTCCCTACCTGACAGGTTTAAAAAAAAAAAAGGTAGATTTAATTTGCAGCTCTCTTACGAGTGAGGTGAGCATTTTTTAAAGATCTGTTTAAGAATCACTTTTGTATTTCCTTTTCTGTAAATTTGTTTTATTCTTTTGCTCACTTTTTATTTATTTATTTATTTATTTTTTATTTTTTAAAATGTTTTATTTATTTCTAGGAGAGAGAGAGAGAGCGAGCGTGAGCCGGGGAGGGTCAGAGAGAGAGGGAGTCACAGACTCTGAAACAGGCTCCAGGCTCTGAGCTGGCAGTAAGCACAGAGCCCGACACGGGGCTCGAACCCACGAACCGCGAGATCATGACCTAGGTGAAAGTCGGACGCTTAACCGACTAAGCCACCCAGGCGCCCCACTTTTGCTCACTTTTTAAATGTAGTTACTGGCCTTTCTCTTATTCTTGACTAGGAACGGCTTAGAGTTGTACTTCATAAACTTTTGTTTTTGTTTTGTATTAATCAGTGCTTTTGGCTCTAAATGTTTTTGCTCTGCATGGGATAATTCCCATTTTTAGGGAGTCTTTTTCAAGGCTCTAAGTTAAATTGTGGAGGAATGGACTATGAGTCAAGTGCTAAGTGAACAAATATAGTGGCCTCCCTGGTTACATGCACCCATGTTTGTTTGTTTTTAAGCACCCATGTACTTTTAATTGACCCACACCTGGAAGTTATAGAGAAAGAGTATTTCCTGTGCAGCCATATTCTTCTGCTGTGGGTGAGATGCTGACTGGCCTCATTCTCTTCTGTTCATTTTTCTTAAGATCTGCAATAGGAGTAAAGTTAGTTGTTCAAGAAAACTCATAAAGATTTTTTTAAGGGGTGCTGGGTGGTTCAGTCGGTTAAGCATCCGACTTAAGCTCAGGTCATGATCTCACAGTTGGTGGGTCCGAGGCCCACGTCAGGCTCTGTGCTGACAGCTAGCTCAGACACCAGAGCCTGTTTCAGATTCTGTATCTCCCACTCTCTCTGACCCTCCCCTGCTCACGCTGTCTCTCTCTCTCAGAAATAAATAAAACATTAAAAAAAAAAAAAAAGATTTTTTTAATGCAAAACTTGTAACATCCAGAAGAATCCCATAAAGCAGTGAGAATAGGTAGGTGACCTCAAAGTGCAAGTTGAAATTTCACCTCGGTGTAAGTTAAGCAGCCTTCTCTTGGGCTACAGGACTTTAAAATATTTTAAGTTTCCTCCCCCCTGGGTTACCTTAACTTTCTATTGTTTCTAGGAGAGAATATATTTCCAGTTACATCCTAGCTTTTTACATTTTCATTCATGACCAACTGTTAATACACAAAATGGCTTGGATAAATTTCCCTGACTGATACGAGTAAAGGGAGTCATTCATAAAAGAATCTATAAAACATGGTTCCATGTAGTAGAAGATCAAGAACAGAAAGAAACTAATATCTGGTGACAGAAATGAGAGTACTGGTTACCTTTAGTAGGATAGTACTGGCTAGAAAGGGATACAAGGGAGCTTTCTGTGGGGGTATTATGGTCTATATTTTGATCTGATAGTTTCATGTTATATACTAAGCACAGGTAAGATTTGGTGACTCAATTGGTTAAGTGTCCGACTTGGGCTCAGGTAATGATCTTGTAGTTTGTGAGTTCTAGTCCTGCGTCAGGCTCAGTGCTGACAGCTCAGAGCCTGGAGCCTGCTTCAGATTCTGTGTTTCTCTCTCCCTCTCTCTCTCCCTCTCCCCTGCTCATGCTGTGTCTCTCTCTCAAAAGTAAACATTAAAAAAAAAAAAGTTGTGTAAGCTGTTTCTTAAAAAAATGTTCCTTTCATACAGTGTAGGCTGTCCATTGAAAACAGGATATTCTTATGATTTTAAAAGTACTATTTAGGATATTGGAGAAATACAGGATTATTCATAGAAGAAAATAAAGTCACTCATAACCCTACCACCTAAGGGTTACTACTGTTAACATTTGATATCTCTCCTTTTGAATTTTTTCTATGTCCATTTTTAAGATGAATTCTATAACTTTGTGTTTTGCCCCACCCATTTTCCACTTACTGTTAGCATATCATTGTTGAGACTGCCTTTTTAAATGTTTTTTTTTTTTTTTTTTTTTTTATTTCTAGGAGAGAGAGAGAGAGACGGGGAGGGCCAGAGAGAGAGGGAGTCACAGACTGAAACAGGCTCCAGGCTCTGAGCTGGCAGTCAGCACAGAGCCCGACGCGGGGCTCGAACCCACGAACCGCAAGATCATGACCTAAGCGAAAGTCGGACGCTTAACCGACTAAGCCACCCAGGCGCCCCGAGACTGCCTTTTTAAAGTTATGGTAGAGTATTACAAGCTTCAGTCTCAAAAGGCAAGGAACTAGACAAAAAAGGGCTATTTCACTTCTCTGAGTTTAGACTTGAGCCAACATTGGTTTTATACATATGCCTGATAATGCTTTTTAAGTCCTAAATACTCAGGGCTCAGGGCTCAGGAAAAACCTCGTGTAGACAAGAGCAGAAAGGATATTGGAAGCTTTATTAAAAGGATGCCAAGAGGCCTCTAGACATTCACAGCTTGAAGTAAGCAGGCAAAATGTAGATCAGAAACAAAGCTGCCAAATCTTCACGTTTTGCATGGGAGAGTAATTATGTGACTGTAATTACATTTTGTTACATTTATGAGAATATTTGTGTTGAATCTTGATTTTATTCACAGCAGTGTTTATTCATGGGTTACTTTCTTGTGTGTGTGTTCCAGACCCCCGTAAAAGAGCCCAACAGTGAGAATGTAGATATCAGCAGTGGAGGCGGCGTGCCAGGCTGGAAGAGCAAGTGCTGCTGAGCGCCCGCCGCTCCGTCAGCTGCCCCGCCGCCCTGTTCTCGCCTCCTGCTGCAGAGTGAACCAACCACTCTGTCCATTTGTAACTCTGAGCAGAGATTTTTGTTTCTCATCTTAATTATCCAGTCCACCTATTTTATTTGTTCTTTCATCTGTGACTGCTTGCTGACTTTATAATTTTCTTCAAACAAAAAAAAATGTATAGAAAAATCATGTCTGTGACTTCATTTTTAAATGTACTTGCTCAGCTCACCACTGCATTTCAGTTGTATTATAGTCCAGTTCTTCTTCTCAACATTAAAACCTATAGCAATCATTTCAACTCTATTCTGCAAATTGTATAAGAATAAAAGTTAGAATTAACAATTTTATTTTGTACAACAGTGGAATTTTCTGTCATGGATAATGTGCTTGAGTCCCTATAATCTATAGACATGTGATAGCAAAAGAAACAAAAGCCAGGAAAACACTCATTTTCGCCTTGACTATGTAAATGGGATTAATTTTGTCCTGTGCCTTATGTGGAAAGGAACTTCTTTGGTTTTTCCTTGTTTTGTTTTGTTTTGTTTTTTGTTTTGGTGGAAGCATGTGCAGGAGACATACATATCATCAAAACATACACCGTTAAAATGTTTGTGGTTTGCTTGGCTGTAATTTTCAAAGTAGTTAATTGAGGACAAAGGGTAATGCAGAAATGATAGCTTTGGTTTGCTGAGTCTTAATTTTAAGTGGCCTTGATATTTAAAACTGTTCCTGCCACCGGGTCTTCTATTTGGCCGCTCTCTCCTCAGTCTGTCTTCCTGCATGCTGCTTTATTTGCTCCCCCACCCCCACGGTCTGCGTTATTTAAAAATGAAAGGGGCAAACTAGTAGGTTTTTTCAAGTTTAACATAAAGTACTGATTTAACTTGCTAAGCAAACTGAAAGATAAATTCTAACTGCCTACTACTATCAAATGTCTTCCCCTCATTTTCTCTCTCCCCTAAAACTTCTGCTCCAGATTCCTTCATTAGCTCTTTTACTTCATGCTCCTCTTCCCTCTCTGTTCCCTTTCTATCCATTGAGTTTATGAAATGGAAGAGTTAATTGCATGCACTAGTGTTTGGAGGGTGTTGTGGTTTGTCTTTCTAATTAGGTGTATAGCCTATTCACTTTCCTAGAATAAATCTCTTAGCCTAAATTTGAATAGTCTCCATTTTGGCAACTCCTCTAGCAGTTTGGTAGCCCAGTAAAAGTTTTGTTTTCTTTGGTTTTGTTTGTTTGTTTGGCTTTTTTAATTTGTTTTTTAAACGTGGGAAGGAGGAGTGAAATTTATTAACATGTTTGCCAAATAATACTGAGATTTGGCCTTTGAAGAACACTTTTTCAGTGTTAAGTTGTCTTTACCTTAAGATTAGAAGTACTTTAGAATATTATTAATTTTAAGTCCTGTCTTCATATCCCTTTGGAAAACTTGTATTACCATGGATTTGGAAAAGGACAACAAAAGGCTTTTCATGTACAGATCAGGTCTCTAGCTATCTCTAACCCTGTCCTTTTTTCACTTCATTTTTCTAGTTTCGCTTCATTGCTTATCATCAGGATAGGGTAAGTTAAGTTTGCTACGCTGCTAGCATCCTAAGATGATACCTTTGTTGAGATAATTGTGAATAGCATGATTCATTTCTAGCAGAGGCTGAGTTTAGGACAGCAGCTTCCATTGAAAAGTCTTTCTGTGTCGTGGATAGCATTTTAATGCCCTCTTGGCTCACATCAACAACATAGGGACGTATCTGCTATCAACATCCATGAATTTTTCAGATAGTGCCCTAAAAACGATTTTATATGCCTCACTGGTGGTTCTTTTTAGGCTTTTCCTTCACTTGACTTTATCATTGTTTACTAGTAAAAGCAGCATTGCCAAATAATCCCTAATTTTCCACTAAAAATAATAATGAAATGATGTTAAGCTTCTTGAAAAGTTATAGGTTAAACCTACTGTTGTTAGATTAATTTTAATGTATGTGTTGCTTTCCTTTATCTGGAATGTGGCAATAGCTTTTTTATTTTTTAACCCTCTTTAATCCTTATTCAATTCAATGACTTAAGGTTTGAGAGCTAAACACTGGGATTTTTGGGTAACAGACTGACAGTTTTGTTGTTTGCATAATTATAATCGGCATTGTACATAGAAAGGATATGGCTACCTTTTGTTAAATCTGCACTTTCTAAATATCAAAAAAAGGGAAATGGAGTATAAATCAATTTTTGTATAACCTGTTTGAAACATGAGTTTTATTTGCTTAATATTAGGGCTTTGCCCCTTTTTCTGTGAGTCTCTTGGGATCCTGTGTAGAAGCTGTTCTCATTAAACACCAAACAGTTAAGTCCATTCTCTGGTACTAGCTACAAATTCGGTTTCATATTCTACTTAACAATTTAAATAAACTGAAATATTTCTAGATGGTCTACTTCTGTTCATATAAAAACAAAACTTGATTTCCAACTGTGTGGCTTGGTTTTCATTTATTTGTGGAGTTGAAGGTGGATGATTACTTCTGAAAACAATTCAGAATAGCAAACTGAGTATCAGAGGGGCAGAAATTTCAAGAACTACCTTTGGTAAGAAACTACATAAAAAACGCAACTCTGTGGGGCACTAAAGCAGCACCGTCCTGGCATCAAAAGGGACGCCACGGTCATTGGGTCACAGTCCCTCTGCAGCTGACAACGCCGGACTGTGCCGAGAGCCACCTGCAGCTGGACACAGCAGACTGGTCAGGGGCAGCACGGTGGCTCCCACGCTGGGGGGCTGAGTGCTTGCTTCGGCAGTGACCATCCACTAGTCTGAAAAAAGTATTTCCTTTTTTGTGAACCATAAGCGACAGCTTTGTTTTATATAAAGAAAACCTTGCTTGATCGCGTCTTAGGGCATTATTAGTCAGGAGATAGAGATAAATGTTGACAAGATCTTCTGGAGGATGGTGTGTCATTTTCTCCTACTGCAGTGTTGATAGGAGGCACCTGGAGGGTTTTTAATGCTTCCCCATTCACCCCAACTTTGTTTTGCATGTCTAGGAAGAGGCCCATGATTCTTTTTGAGATTGGTGTGGGAAAATAGGACATGGTCTCTGCCCTTCAGTTTATGATTTTGTTTAGAAAGCAAAAGCAGTAATCAGTTAAGCATATGTAAGAGCCAAGTAGGGGTGTCTGGCTGATTCAGTCGGTGGAGCATGTGACTCTTGATATCGGCGTCATGAGTTCAAACCCCACACTGGCATAGAGCTTACCTGATTAGATGTGATTCAGGTTTTAAGTGCTGTATTAATGTTTAAGAGCAAGCTCAGTTTGTGGGAATAGTTGGGGTGGCTTTTAAGGGAATAAGGACATGAATTGGTTCTGAAATAAGTAGATTGTTTATTCAAGGGGGAGGGGAAAGAGGGTCCACAAGTAAATTTGAAACAGGCTTTGCTTCTGTGAGAAACCAGAAACCCACCTGGACAGTGATTGGCAATGGGGATTCCTGGTAAGCTCTCGAAAGGGGCGAGAGAAGTGTGTCTGAGGAAAACATGTCTAGTGTTGGAAGAGGAGAAAAAGCAGAGGGTCCTGGAGATTGATCGCATAGGAAGTTAGGTGAGCTGGGATCTGAAGAGGACCGGGCCAAAATGATGGCAGAGGGCAGTGCAGGGTTTTAAGTTCCAATATGTGAAAGGAAAGAGTATTTCTTGCCTACTAAGGAGCCTAATAGGTACTTATGACACTGTTCTACATGCTTTGGGTTATGTCCACAACTACCTGGTGAAATGATATCCATTTTACAAAATAAAAGGTCTCAGATTAAGTCCTTCAGGTTGCACATCCAGTTGGTGCTGGAGTTGGATTTTGAAACCAAGCCTGTGGCAGTGCTTCTTTTCATCTTCACCTTAACCAGCTTCTCAGGATAAGGTCTTAAGGTTCGGTTATAGTGATTATAATGGGGGTGATAAACGTGCCAGAGCCAACAGAAAGAGTGCTAGAGTGTAGTTTTACCTGTCTTTTTTTTTTTTTTAAACCATTTTATTTACTTCTTTAATCTCTACACCCAACATGGGGCTCAAACTCCACCCTGAGTTCAAGAGTCTTCTGACAGCCAGCTGGGTGCCCCTGGTCTTACCTAGTTAGCATAACCATTGAGCCTAACCTTGACACTTTTCTAACAGAGTAATGTCCTTGTTAGTTTAAACCTGTGGTCCCCCTTGCCACCCTGCCGATGTTACTTTTCCTCCTCCTTCCAGCCATGTTTTGCCTGAAGGTAAACAATAAGGCAGTTGCTGTTCACATTTCTCTTAATTGGCTTTCAAAGGCTAGACTTTGAGGGGGGACCTGGGTTGCTTATTAATTGCTACCATAAGTAATGGGGAAATAAAATGGAGGAGAGGGGAAAGAAAGTGGGTATAGTTTGGCCAAATTCTTAGGTGGATTTGAGATAGTTTGTAACGACGAGTACAGTATAACTTCATATAAGATTAAGTCATATAAGCTTTTCTGGGACACTGAATTTAGGTCTGAGATTTCCGGCACCAAGGTAAAAAGGTATGTAGTTCTGTCACATCTTAAAGAGAATGGTTGCTGAGAAAAAATCTCTAGCACAAAATTCAGAAATTACCATTAAAGTTTATTGGCCTGCAAAGTGAAAATGTCTCCAGTGCAAGTTCTTAAACTGCATAAATCTGCTTGCGTACCTCTACCATATTTGTGAATTTCCATAAAACAGTAAACCAGCTGTGGCATTTCTGCAGCAAGCTGATGTAATACATACTTGTAGCTTTCTGGTGATTTGATTTATAGACAGTTTATTTAAAGCTTCTTCAAGAAAGGGTAATTAATGTTCTCATTTGAGTCTGAAATGGTCACAGTTCGTCTGTTGACCGGAGCTAGAGAGTAGTCAATCCAAGACTGAGCTCTCCCATGACTGCTTGAAGAGCAGGGTTTTGGGGTTCAGTCAAAACGGTCCATTTAACTTTTGACCAGATGTGCAGGTAGCAGAGTGGATACTGCTTTGAACACATGATCGGACCCCAAGGAGAGGCTGTTCACCGGTGCCCCTTCTCCAGTGCTTCAAGTATTCCATTAAAGCCTCCTAAGTTTCACATCGGCAATTACAGAAACCACTCCGGTCTGGCAGATCTTGGAAGCGATAGCGGTGCAGCGAGCCTACCTGTGAGCGAAGACGCTGACTCTCTGGGCGGGCAAGCTCTGGGAGGAGATCCAGCTCCCAACTAACTGTAGACTGCACGCTGTGGCTGGGTGCCTTCCTCTGGGGTGCCTTCTACCCGCTGCCGCCAGGAGGGCGGGCAGCCGAGCCCGCGCCGCACCCTCCTCCCATCCCGCGTGATCAACACGGACCACCACTCCACTCTGCCCCTTCTCCCACGCTGCATAATCAGCACAGCCCACACGCTCCGATCTCGCCTAACAGGCCGCTGAAGTATTACCTGGGAAAAATGTTTGAAGAGAATTATGTAAAAAATAAGTTCCTAGATAGGGATCACTTTACTGCTTTCAGTCGGAAGTGGCTCGTGTGGGAGGTTACATTCCTATTTTGTCTTACTGATCACCCAACTTTGAGACCTCAGCCACTGCCCACCCTTCCCCTCACCGTCAACGCCACCGGGTACTGTTTAGTCTTCCCGTTACCGCCCGCCTTCCCCTTCATGTTCCCACCGGTCTGGTTTTGGTGCTCGGTCCTCTTTTCTGGACACTGCACCACTTTCTGGACTCGTCGCCTGGTGTCAGCCTCCCTCCCACACACCCCTTGTCCATCTTGCACGCATCGCAAGTTCATCTTCTGAACTTCCCACTGTCACTCAAGAATCTACAGGGGCCCAGTTGCCGACAGCAAGGATGTGTCCGGTGCCTTGATCGTAGTGTGTCACCATCCAAGCTTCCAGGGAAATAAAATGGTGAGTTGACCTAATCCAACAGTTGAAGACCTTCTCGGGTCCCCAACCCATTTTTACAGCCTTAACTGTCGACCAAAGTGCTACACAATTTTACTTCGCTCTTTGGAGGCCTCAAAACAGGTGAGGCGACATATCCTAGCCTCTGCCTTTGCTTAATTAACACCCCTCTGTATCAATTTTGGTTCCCAGCTGCGAATGGTAAAAACCAACTTTGCCTTATTTACCCAGTGGAGGACACTGGTTAAAAGGTTGTTAAAGCTCCATTCTTGTAAGAAGGTGGTAGCAGGGACATAATTTTCCGTTCTCCACAAATCCCTCCATAAATACACAGCAGGTAGGATAGCAAAACCCAAGAAGAGTATATACAGCAAAAGTATTTGATGAGTTAACCCCTGTGAGCCCCCAAACACAAATGGGTTGGGGCACACTTCTGACGGGAACAGGAGTGTGTAATAGCATCTGTGCAGAAGAAAACAGAAGAAATGGGGCATCTGATGGATCTAAAAATCTCCCAAATTAACTGGCAAGTCCTTGGAAACTGCAGGCCACACTATTGGAGCCATCCAACAGCAAGTGCAGGGAATCGCCTATCAACTGAGGGCTACGGCAGTCTGGGCCCTAAGAAGTTCATTTTTCCCACTACAAGAAACCAGAGTTACATGAAGAAATGTCAGAGTCCATGTTGGTGACAGGAAATGTATAATAGGAGCCAGAAAATGTCACACCAGAGAAGTTCTGAAAATCTAAGTGATGAAGTTTTGTGATGATGGTGAGGGCAAGGGGGTTCCGGAACCCATGGCCAAGAAAGAAATCCTTGAAGATGTCTTTGGTGCAAAAAGGTGATTTTATTAAAGCACGGGGACTGGACCTGGAGGCAAGAAGAGCAGCACTATGGTTGTGACAGGTAACTCATTACATACCCTTAGGTTGGGAGGGGGTCAGGGGTGATGTAAATCTCTAAGGTATTTTGGAAGCAAGGTTTCCAGGACCTTGTGGGGTGAGTTGTTGCTAGGAAAACATCATTTATTACTGTTGTGCCCGATTCGCGAGTCCCCAGAGACCCCCAAGGAGCCGGCACCGATGCAAGTACAAAAGGGTCTTTATTACAAGCTAGAGCAGGGGCTCACCCGCCTACCGGTGTCGTGGCAGCAAGGTGAAGCCCCGAACAATAGCGAGTAGGGTTTTTATGGGGTTAGTGACTGGTGTGTTACAGTGCACACGTTGTATGTATTGCATCATCACATAAGCACCAATTACAATTGTACAGCACCCTTGGTAACAGCTTTGACCATTCAGTATCTGTGGGGTGTTCATTACTTTTGGTGGGACCCAATCATGACTTTTGAGAATCCTTTGAAAATGACCAGTTATGAGGTGAGTTCAAAGGGCCCACATGGGGTTCAGGCAAGCAGTGAGAAAAATGACGTTACTTAGGCTCTTCATTACCATTTAGTAAAACCTTAGTCATGAGACCCTTCAGATGTGTATCAGGGGCCATAAGCTTGGAGGATGATGGCCAA